TGATGCATGAGGTTATTCAGAGTAGTATGCGTATGATCTTCTAAGTGTACTCTACAGATTTATACCATGTCCTATTTATAGGACTTCCAACACAAGTGAGAGATGACATGTGGTTTTCGGCCTGTAACAGCTCACCCACTAACAATTCATTGATGACTGTTGTAAATGGACAAAAAAGGGTCAAGTATTAAGCCTGTCATTTTCAGGTGTTAACACATCACTACCCTACTTAAAACGGTCTGATAAAGTCCAGACGTTCAATACACTTTTTTTTAGGTTGTTGCAGAAGATAGCCATACAAGCGACATTGCGACAATTTCATGACATGCGTTCTGTACACTGTTTTTAGGAACTTGTGTATAGAGATTGTGATGAGAACCGGACTCGGACGCAAGGCAGTTTGGGTTTCGAGCGGAAATTACCATGCATTTGGATAAATAGTGTTAGTTTATTTGTTTAAATTTTAAATATGTAGTTTAAACGTGTTAGTTATATGGTAGGTATATTTTGAATATTTGAATGATTAGGTATAGGCTATAAATATTCATGTACTCATTATTGTCAAAGAAGAAGTTTAATGAAATAAGAAATAAGAAAAAGGCTCGTTTTTTAGTACTATCTTCTTGAAAAACCGAGGCCAATAGTGCAGGTTTTTCACTTATTAATGTGTAAATCAAGGCCGTCAGTGTGGGTTTACATATTTTATCGTGTTCGAACCAAGGCCGTTAGTGCGTGTTCCTACACAAAACCGAGTCCCAATACACGATCTTCATCCGATTGTTGCGACGTGCAAGTAGGCATGTGACTTTTTTCTTTACCATCTGTGGTGAGACTTTTATATTTATTTTAGGTAATTTGATTTCAATTATTTATCTTTAGATTAATTTTTTTTTTCAAAAAAATTCATTGAATTTTAAAATAATATACGTTATGGAACCTTGTCATTTCATATTTATATCTCGTGCATCATAATGCAAATTTTTTAAATGAAAATTAACGGATAAGCTTACGACAAGTTGCCAACTTATGAAAACCATTTGGGATTTAAAGGTACGGTTTCCCAAGAGAGAAAACTAAACCAACTAAAGCAACAAACACAAACTCAAAATGCCCATACTTATTAAATTTGTTGAAAATTTTTTTGACTTGCCTAAACTGGCTATTCCTATTGGACCTATTCCCATTACAACTAATTCGATATTGAGGTTTTGCACTTTTGCTTACTGCTGAAGGAATCTTAAGCTGGCCACCCACCAGAAAAGATAAAATAACATACTACGTAGTCCATATGTTAGCAGCATGTACTATTTCGATTTCTATTTAGTATTTACCCAAATTAGATTTCTGTTTCTACTTATTTAGAACAGGTTTTCGGTGTTTTTAACTCAGAATAGGTTTCCGTTTCTTTTTGTTGCGCAGTGATGTTTTGACTTTTGAATCAAAATATATATCCGATAAAGAGTTAATTTTTGAGATTCCTTTTTGGTTTGCAAATTCTAATTCATGTTAATACAAATCAGAAAATCAAATTGTGCAAGTTTTTAACTTGTAGTTACCACTTACAATTAACAAATAAAATAAAAATTAAGAAAATCAAATTGTGCAAGTTTTTAACTTATAGTTACCACTTACAATTAACAAATAAAACTAATAAAAAAAGTTATATTACAAACAAAACTAATATAAAAACAAATTATATACAAATAGTTGAATATAGTGAGATTCTGCGTCATCATGATGCAATCATACAAATATATTCAATATTTTTGTTTGGTTCAGTTTCAAAATATTTTCCGGTTTACTCGGAAATTTTCCGACTCGTATCATTACTCGGCGGATGTTTTTCATTTCAAATTAGTACATTTGGCACGGTAAAATACTCTAAAACCCCGTGCTACACTCGGACTCATTGAAGTCCAACGTGGGCCATCGTAGACTTCTATCATTATATAAAAAGAATAACCTTTTTACAAATTTAGAAATTTTTTCCCGCCAAAATCATTAAATATATCCTAATATAGTAATTGTTGGACAAATCTGAATAGACAAAAAAATCGGCTCATTTTTTTTAGTTTATCAAAACCTTTGTTTGACAATAAATATTTGTTTTTCTTTTTCCTATTTTTAGTATAAATCTACACGCTTATCTCTTCTGTTACAAAATCCAATTGCATACGATCTCACGTGTTTAAAAAATCTCATCCCTTATCTATACAGATTTAAAAAAATAAAATAAAATAGAAACCAATTCATAATTCTTACTAGAAATTCATTATTTTTAAAAAGAAAAAATAAAATAAAATAGAAACTAATTCATAATTACTACTGGAAATCCATTATCTACTTTAAGAAGCTAATTTTCATCGGTCTAATTACTAATATTTTTACAAATATTATAAGCTAACCATACAAAAAAGTATAATAATAATTTTGAAATGGTGTGTAATCAAATTTTTTTATATTCTCTTATACAAAATAATTTTACATTGTTTGACCCCAAATCTTTAATTTATAATTATTAAGTATTGTTTATCCTCCTCTTTAATTTATAATTATTTTTTTTGCTTCCTCTTTTTAAATAGGAACAATAGTAGTTTCCACTTCCGTCATTGAGTGACTCAAACTCGAGGTCTATTTATAATATTATTAATTTAATATTGTTTCCGTGCATCGCACGGGGTATACACTAGTTCATTTTGAAGCAGGAGAATCCGAGCCCATTTACAGATAAAAAGAGTTACATTGTGAGTTCTATAACCGAAGGCCCACATGAAGGGCAATTGTGAACCTTCATTTTGAAGAAGGATAATGTGAGCCCAATTATTTGATTCAGCCTATTTGGCACTTGGCAGACAAAAGGAGCTATATTTCTGTAATAAAAAAGCCCAGATTCCAGGTTCTTTGATTTGGGAAAGCAGAGGCCATTTTGTGGCTTCAAACTACATGGACGCAAATGATTTGATTATTTTTTTTTTATATTTATTAAGGTCCTTTATATTATATAAAAGATGTAAAAAATACTCTAAATAATAAATAAGTAATCTATCAAGGATTGATACGAGTACAAGATACGAGCGCGATATAATACAAACTAGTACGTACCCCGTGCGATGCACGGAACATAAATATTAAATGAATTATTTCTACACGCTTTGTCCGTTTAAGTATATAAAGCAATAGAGTTATCATCTATTTTTCACTTTTTTTAATCAGCGTTAAGTGTAATAAACAATAAGGTCTATTTTGCACCTCTTTTAATCAGCGTTGTTTTTTTCAGTCAAAACATTAAATATGAGCATGTTAAGGCTAGCTTGTAAAGTAATTAATATATTATATCACTAACACATTTATACTAATATAAATTTGATTTTAGTATATATATATATATATATAAGAGAGAATAACAATTCTACTTATTCTTGTTCACCATATAATACTTAATTATTTTATTATAAACTTTGTTATCATAAAATGTCATTATTATTTATAAGGTTATAGAAGTTGTACGTCTTCTTTTCCTTTTTATTTTATGTGATGAAAAATATTTAATGCACGTTAGTATTATTTATTTATGTAATCAATTTAAAATATGTAAATAAATTTAAAATTAAATAATGTATAAATATTTTAAAAAATATACACATGTTTTTTTAGAATTTAATTTTGTAACTAATTAAAATACTTTGATTTAGAAAATGCCAAAAACTCAATCCCTTCTACGATCAAGATTTTTCTAATTCGTATTATAACGATTTATAGTTTATTTAGCATATTCTGCAATGAAAATATATTTTACAAGAATTTAATTATAGAAATAAATCAAAATACAAGAAAAAATAATGATGGGTGCCAATAATATACAAATAAATTCTAAAAAATAGTTAATATATTTTAATTTTAATTTTTTACCATTAGTAAAACTATTTAATATATCTGGTCATTATCTCTTAAATGATAAATTATATTAATTTGAAGAACAAGTTATTTTTTATATTTCACAAAATAAAGCTTAAGAAAAAGATATATTGTCGAAGATTAATTCACCAACTTGATTTTGTCTGATTACTTGGAAAAGAAAATTCTACCTAACCTGTTACAATTTTCCATAAATATTTTTGGATAAAAAGTGGATATTTGTGAAAAAAATTAATATTATGGTTAGAACTTAAAATATGGTGTAATATTGATCTTGGCCAAAATATTATCAACATGATCATGGAAATCAATCTTGTAATTTATTATAATGAATATCAATGAAAGTATTACAAATATTAATAAAATAATATTTATCTTGACCAAATTATTATCAACATGAATCACAGAAAATCAATCTTGTAATTTATTATAATAAATATCAATAAAAATATTGCAGATATTAAAAAATTTATTTAAGTAATTTTTTGATCATGTCTTATTTGATCTTCTTTGAAAATGTGTATATGGAGGCAATTAATGCATATATTTAAAAAGTTTCTAAAAATTGTATGCATTAATTATTTCCTAAATTTTTGGCTACTATTTTTAGTAAATGTTAATTCTTATTATATATATATAGATACTGAAATACAATATATTTCAAAATTTCAGAGTACGACAATATAGTTATATCTGTATATAGTATATGTACATTTGCATTAGAAAAAATATAAATTTTATCATCTAATCGCAATTAAAAATTCAATTTTTCTATCATAAGAAAAAATAATTTAAATGATCACACATTCACATACGAACGTACCATAACCCTTTAAAAATAGAAAAAAAATATGTATACTTCAATAATCATTTTTTAGTTTTTTTTTTTTGTTTTTAAAATAACTAACTTATGAAGTGATGGGTAAAGTATGAGATATGATACGGTTACACTAACCTCCAAGAAGTGTCCTAACTTAATTTTATGGGATAAAATAAATCGACATCAATATTTATGAGTTCTAATGTATCAACATCACTGGTCCTAAACTTTGTTTTAATGAAAATACATTATTTACGTCATATTATTTATGTTTTCTTTATTCCCAGCCCCCAAACCTTGAACTAGTAAAAACCAAACATAAAATTAAAACCGGCATTTCAACAAAGCCACCATTACTCACCGCATTCAAACCTAAAACGTTAAGTTTAACACCAAAAAAAACTCTGCCTAACTGCACGAACCGGAGGAACCAAAATGGTATCGGATTCGGAGCTGATCGAGCGGCTGCGAGAGTTCCTGAGCGCGTCGGACCTCAACACGACAACGACGGCGATCGTGCGCCGGCGGCTCGAGGAGGATTTCGGCATCGATTTGTCTGATAGAAAGGCGTTCATAAGAGAACAGGTCGATGCTTACATGCAAAGCCAATTCGAAAATGCTGCGGATAACGAAGATGAAATTAATGTCGAAGCAGATGAGAATGAAGGAGATGGAGAAGAGGAAGACGAGGTGGAGGTGGAGGAAGAGGAGGAGCAAGTGGAAGAGGATGAAGGAGCAAAAGATTCAACCGCCGGCCGCAAAGCAAAATCCTCTGCCAAGAAAACTAAGAAGCGGTTAGTCTCGTGGATTCAGCATTTTTTATTTGAATAATTTTGCGCTTTTAATTTGTTTGTGATTAAGGGGGGATGAATTTATTTGGCTATCTGTTTTCAATTTTTGGTTTTTGAAATGAATTGTTTAATTCGTTGTGTGAATTACGAGTTTATGACGGGTTGCAATTTATTCGACTTTAGTTGCATGTGTATGCTTAGATTTGCAGTTTACAAAGGGCTATCTCCTGGGTATTGGTTTTGGGCTGGGAAGGTTTCTAGTAGATTAGGTTCATTATGCGTCAATGGGTTTTTGTCTTTCCTGACCTTTTTGTGTTTACAGACAGAGTTCTTCATTTGGGCTAGTTTGATCATGTTCTCTAGATTGGATGTGTGTTTGAGTACTTTTTTTTTCTGAAATTTAGCTAATAATCGTTCAATCTGACAATTGATGGGACACAATTGTAAACTCCGATGCATGCATTCGGCTGCATATGAGTGTCACTATTAATGCTGGAAGATTTGACTTTGTGGAGCCCTTCTACAAACCTGATCAAAACTACTTTTGCTAGCATTTGAGACAGTGCTGTTTGATTTTTTTATTTTATTTTTTTAAATTAAAGTAATTTGTAGGAGTTTTGTGGTTTGCCCTCTGAGAATTCAGCCATTGTTATGAAATGAAAGTAAGATGAACATTATGTTTTTAGCATTAGCTCTTTAGCTTTTTTGAGATTAAATTTACGTTTTGAATTTCGCTCTGCTGGTTCATTCTCTATCTTCCATTGCCATTACCCTCGTTCGGTTTTTGATATTGCATCTGCTTAGTATTTTGACCCATAGTTCTTGGTATATCAGCTGTAACCTTTTGCATGATTGTTAGTCATAGATGAAACCTCCATTAGATTGTCAAGAGAAAGAGGAACTCCGTCGACTTCCTCACTTTCTGACTATTTAGTGTAGAAGAGATAAGAAATGTAAACTGTTAAATGCAACACAAATCCTAAATAGAAAGGAAATTTTATGAAAAATATAATTGGCCTGTGCAATCAGTGATTGTTCGACTTGAATGAGAAAATAAATACACTAATTATGTTCTAAATATCAGTTCATTCACTGAATTAGCCATATGAATTTTGAAAGAGCAAGTTCCATTATAGTTATATTTAACATAGTTTTTTGTACGTTTTCAAACCCACCACATTCACATGTTTTCTTTTCTTCAGCGGGGTCAGCTGAGACATGACTGAAGTCTTCAAGGTTATCTCTGCCCTGGACAGAATACATACACAATTATTTTCCCAATGCCTTTCCGCCTCTGACTTTTATATTTTCAGGCACAGTTCTAATTGTAGCAGCCGGATTTTCACCTAAAAATGGAATTTGGTTATAGAAGACCCTCGATACTTTAGAATGGCCTGCATGTCATTTAAAGACCATTACCTTGCATATGGAAACGGTTTGTTGATGGATATTATTCCAGAGAGTTGTAGAAGCTATCATCATATTCCTTTCCAGAAAATTGACGCCATCACCCTAAATTTGAATATTCTAGCAAAAATACTATATTTGGTTCAGCATTTCAGTAAAAATAATCTGTTTTTGCCCTGGCAAACATTTTAGGTTGTTGGGCATGGTAATTGCTAAGGATATCATATTTACAACGCCAAGTGTTACTTTCATTCCAATTGGTGTTTTCCGTATTCTGCAATTTATGATTCCAAGATCTATATCATTCATCTTTTTTTTTTAATTTTGTATTAAAGGGCAGCTGACTTCACCTGGCATATTTGGGCCACTTCTGCATTTAGTGTACTAATGCTTACTTTATATTTCATTTTGGTAGATCTAGAAAGGAGGTCAAGAAAAGAGGTGGTGGAGGGTTTACCAAATTATGCAGCCTTTCTCCCGAGCTTCAGAAATTTACCGGAGTGCCTGAACTGGCACGGACAGAGGTACGGAAAATTTATGCTGCTGCATTCTCTACGATTGTGTTTGGAGTAAAATTAAACATAATCTACCTGCCTGCTGTTTTTATAACCAGGTTGTGAAGCAAATATGGAGCTATATTAGAGAAAATAATTTGCAAGATCCATCCAACAGAAGAAATATCAATTGTGATGAAACATTGCGCGATCTTTTTGCTGTAGATACCATAGATATGTTCCAAATGAACAAGGCTCTTGCAAAGCACATATGGCCCTTGAATTCTGATGGTGGTATATTTCAGGCATTTTAGTTCCTCAGGCTTTTTTTGTCTTCTTCAGTTGTCCTGTTATTAGTCTTTCTTATATGTGACAATTTCTGCTCGATATTAATTTATTTGTTTGGAGTATTTTCTTCGTGAATGTTTTTATCTGACAAAAAAATGCATCCATGCTTTTTCAGCATTTTTTTAGAATCTTTTTTTCATCTGCTTATGTCTGCTTGTCTTTAGTGAATCATGGCATAATAACAAAGTAATAATGTTGATGGTCTAGAATAAGCCATAACAATATAATTTTGCTGAACGTCCACCTTTAATATTTTACTTCAAATTTATATTCTGGAATAGTTGAAACAGAGACATAAGAGTTGCACTCGAGCACTAATGGCGCACATTCTCAGACATTACCTGATGCTATCTTGTTTATACATGCGAAGGAATTATTTACAATGGCAGAAGGATGTTAGACTCATGCTAGATGACTGGCTTTATAACTGAATAAAATTGGTATTATCTGGGTGATTAATATTATTATTATTTTTCTTCTGAAAATCACTGTTGCTTTATGAACTTACTTTTGATAGGCAAAATTTTAAATCTAATCTGTGGAAGGCCATGATACCATCTTACTTCTCATGAAATATCGAAGCCCAAATTGTTGATCTTTCTGTTTGTTATTATTTGGTATGGTTTCTGGGCTCTTACCAAAACCGTCAACATAAAGTATCCTCGCTCTGAAGGTTTTTTTGATTATATATTACATTATTACCTTCCTATGTAATTCATTAGCCATTTTACATTAAACTTAATTAAGTTATTATTTATTGGTTTCGACATTAAGCATCTTCAGCCAATTCTGCACCGAAAGCAATACAACAGAAGCAAGAGAAAGAGAAAGATGAAGGTAGGAACTCCTATGATAAGCTCTGTATTCTTCTTTGGTTGGAAGTTTCTTTAAACTTAATTAAGTTATTATTTATTGGTTTCGACATTAAGCATCTTCAGCCAATTCTGCACCGAAAGCAAAACAACAGAAGCAAGAGAAAGAGAAAGATGAAGGTAGGAACTCCTATGATAAGCTCTGTATTCTTCTTTGGTTGGAAGTTTCTTTTCACTCGAAGGATTGGATTTTCCTCCTACCTTTCCCTTTGTTTATGTGTCTTCATAAATTGTTTCTGAATAGAAGTTCTCTCCACATTTGAGTCTACTCCCAGTGGTTATGGAAACTCTTCACATTTAAAAACCCGAAGAGGATTTAATATTGGTGTTGATGTGATGCTTTTGTACTGTAACCTATAATGAAATATTGCGGGGTGAAAAAAATTAACAGAGTAAGGGTATTTGAAGAAATGGAAGGAGAATGGCTTCTTGCATGGGTCCATTCTTCTCACGTGTTGAACAGTGTTATTAAATAAAGTAGAAATGACCTTATGCAATTATTCACAGATCCTGCAGTTTTNAAATGTTTCCGAATTCTATAATGATTTTTCTAAACCATTCTTCTGTTTCTTTTTTGAATATATAAAATATAATTATGTCAGTGTCAGATGAAGACGAGCCGAAGAGAAAAGAAAAGCGATCTAGGGGAAATCCGGGCTTGCTTGCTCCTCTTAAGCTTTCTGATGCTTTGGTGAAGTTCCTTGGCTCAGGGGAAAGTGAACTATCTCGTCCAAATGTTGTTAAGAGAATTTGGGATTATATCAAGCAACACAACTTACAGGTTTGTGTTTACAGCAGAACTTGTCGTAACATACTTTTAGTTTGTTTACTCTGGTTTTCATCTTGTTTTTGCAACTGCTCCTAGCTACTTGTAGGAACCACTAATGCATGTCCATGATTTATATATTCACTTAAAAAAATACTCTTTTTTCGGGGATCTTCCTGATTTTTGAGAAATCAATGAAGCATCATCACATTTCTAAATAAACAGAGTTAGAGCTGAATCCAATTTGTTTTACTTGAAGGATTTTATGGAAGGAAAAAATGTTTTATCTGGTCTACCACAGTTAAGTAGAAGCTCACTAAACTAAAATTGATACTG